TATGTTTTGCATAGCTAAACCTCATATCATGTAGGTTTGTGTGATAGTTCTCTGTCTTCCATAGGATTTTCCTGGAGTGATATTATCTGATGGCTTGGTGTGCTGAATGATATTATTAACAGTCTTGGACATCTTTAAATATCCTATAATCATTCATTCATACTTGTTGTCTTCCATTGAATGCTGTATTTGTGTATGTTTAGCATATGATCTTGCAGCCATACTCTATAATAATAATACACATAATTTGAATGTATGTATGTTTTAATGTAAGATATATTTGAATAGGTTGATAACTATGCAATCACTTATGCAATGTGTGATTGGTTAAAATGTTGTCATATTTTGCGTTTATAAGTAGTTTTTTATATGTTTGAGTGGCCTTTTTTGTCATAGCTGCTTTTTTCTTAAAACATCATAAAATTTACCTCTCTAAGACTCCAGATTACTATAGTCAAATTGACTACAATACTTTTTTGTTTTGTTTTGTTTATAAATTTTATTATTTTAATTTGCAACTTTCTCTCCAGCCACATACCCAAAACTCAATCCTCAATCCTTCCACTAGAACACTCGGTGGAGAACAGATTAAGTCTTCTTCAAGTCTTTTATAGGGCTTTGGATCTTATCTTAAATAAAAGTGCGATTGACACAAAGGAAAAAAAAACATTGAAACAAAAATTAACTCCAAGAAGAGATGTAAAAACTTTGAAGCCTGCTGGAACCCAATAGTTGATTATTAGGTTGTGCCATACTTTTTTTTTCTTCCAGATTGAAAACTCTGTATTCTAAAAACTTGTATTTATATATAATATGACTAAAAAAGGTTAGATAGTAAAATCTAAAAGCTGCCATAAAATTTTTATAATTTCTGCTAATGGTTACCTATTTTTTTCAACATAAGTGTTTATCTAATAGTTTTTATTGTTTGCTTTTTTAATAACACTCATAAAAAATTTATAATAATTTGCCTATTATTTACTTTTGAGAAATTTTTTATAGATATTTTTACAATTATTTTTATTAATAGGCGTCAAATGTCTCGATAAGTAATTTTTTGCTTAATGTTTTGCTTGATGTTTTGGTTTCCTGTTAAACTCTTCTTTCAATTGATTGCTAATAGCAAGGTCAACTCAACATTTATAGGCTGAATTATTTTTTTATCAATAATTTGATTTTTGGAGTGGTTTTGTCTCCCTTATTTTTATTACCACTTTTAAATTTTTTTGTTACCAGGGCCTCTAATTAACTCTATTCTGTGATTTACAAATATAATAAATTGTGTATTTGTTTGATTTGAATGAGTATTATTAATATTAATACTAAATTCTTTAAACAGTTATTATATTGTTGACCTCAAATTTACATTCACACTTACATTCTTCTAGCAAAGCATGATCTTTGTGATAGACTAAGGAAAAGTATACCAAGCTGAATGTTGAACTGTTGGCATAAAATTTTCTTCTACTTTATATGAATAATGTTTTAAAGGGCTAAGCTTGTAAAGAATGTCACAGCCCTTCTTACTTTACACAGTAAAACTGTGTTCTACCTTAATTTTAAACCACATAGACATGTAAACTTTAACAATGAACTCAACAACAATAAATTTTAAGTTCTCAACGCTCAAACAATGTTTCATGTTCGAATTGGAAGTTACTGGAAGAGTAAAGTTGAAATTTATAAAGCAAAATAACAATTTTAAGAGATGACTTAAAAGATGGTAAATTATTTGAATAAGGAAAACAAGAGGAAGGGAGCAAATTCCAAAGACCTGATGTTCGAAAGAAAAAACTAGAAAATTGAGAATTTTTTGGAACACTTAAAAACAGTCACAGTAATAGGATGAGATTTAATTAGTTGAAGAATAACATGATTATGATATTTGTAGATAACACAAAAGATGCTAGCTCTTTAGAGCAGCGCCCATTATATTTTTTATGGAAAAGAGAAAGTGAAGAAACATTACAACAATATGACAATGGTTGAGGGTTAGCTGCATATTCAGGTCCAACTATGTTTACAATGCGTTTTTGCACCGTGTCTAAAAGAGAAAGGCATCATTCGAAGATCCACTTCAGGATTTGATATATGGTTTTCAAGATGGATCAGAAGTATGAGTTAATCCTAGAAGACGAAGAGTAGATTACTTATCAAGTATATTACCGTTTATAAATATAGGGAGATTTAAATTATTAATAAAATATAGGAAGATCTAGATTGTTGTGATAATGATTAGCTGAAAAAAGTTGAATTTTTTCTGAGTTAAATTCACCAGCCACTGAGAAGCTACTGTAGCAGAAGTGAGAACCTTTTCAAGCTCAAATGCTCCCTCCGAACAATCAAAGTGTGTTGGCTTCTTATCAAGACAAGAATAAATGGTAGAATCAACAGTGAATAATGCCACCTTAGATGTGAGAATCTCTGGAGATCATTTAAGTAAATTTAAAAAAGTATAGGGCCTAAGATAGAGCCTTAAGGAATCCCTGAAGTCACAGGAAATAAATAAGAGTGCTGAAGTTTTGGCAATAGATATGGAAGTAATGGTTACAATTGAAAATTACAGCAGCACAATGAGAAGAAAACCATGTAAGAGAGTTGGGTTTGACTTGGAATCGTTGAGAGAAAAAAAAATATTCTATGCTAACCTGAATCAAAGAAGTTAAATAAGAAGTACAAATGTGAACAAGAAGACAAAAAGATTCTACCCAAGGGCCCTCAAAAAGTACATCATGGAAATAGTCTCAGTCAGCTTCAATGTAGTTGTAAGAGGTAGGATGATATTACAATATAGGGGAATTCTAATGATGAAGAAGAATGATAATGATGAAGGAGAATAATAGTTTTAGAGATATCGAATTGTGATCAGAAGCAACTAAAGGTGAATGAAACTGAGTTGGATTGATTGACTGACTAGAATTAGAAACAAGACATAAGTCTAGTAGAGAAGGTAAATGATTTAGATTGTCTGTAAACGATATTTTCTTTACTTTTTTCTGTTGATGCATCAGATTAACTTTGGTATTACTTCTTTTTTTTTTTTTAAATTTCTACTAAATGATTCCTCTGTTTTGCCAGTCAAATTGGAAATTGTTTTACTGTTTTCTAATAGTTAGTTGCAATTCTTTGTATATCTTTTCTAGAATTTGTCGCTTTGATCCACTTTTTTTTCTTGTTTTTTTTTTTAATGATATCCTATCTGCCATGATTAAATTCTTCTGTGATTGATGATATCGATTAACTTGCAAACTTTTAAAAACTTTTTACGTAAACATTGATTTATTAAAATAGTGTTTTTAAAGTATAAAAATAATTAGTTTTGACAATTTAAATAAATTTTTTTATCATTTTCATATCGCATATAATTAATATTATGTGGACGTAAACAAACGCTTACATTATAAATATGCATGGATGCAATGCAGTATCTATTGTTAGATTAAAAAGTCAATTACAAAAAATTATCAATAAATTTTTAACACTTCATGGTAGCTTAACATAACTTTTTTAGTTTTAAGTTAGAAATATTTGTATACAAGTTTTCCATATAACAGGTTTTTGTAAAAGTGGTTTTTTGAAAATATCAAATAGACTTACACCCCTTAATCACTTTCTCTTATCTTATCAGGCAAGTTTAAATTTTGCAACTCTCATAGAAATTACAATTAGATATGCATATACAATTTAAATGAAGTAGGTAATTTTTTGTCTAATATTTCATTGTAAACATGTTTAAAAAAATCAATATAGTTGTTTAAAATAAATATTTTTATTTCAAGTTTGCAACTTTTAAAGTTTGAGTGGTAAAACTTGTCTGTCTCTCAGAAAATGAAACAAACATGAACACATAAATTGAATTATTAAAATCCATTGTTCATCCTCCTAAGTATAAAGCAGTGTAACAGGTGTTTACATCTATACCAAGTTACTAATCAAGAAGAGTTACCAGTCCACTGAAAATTGTAAAAAAGGAGATAAAAACGCACGACAAACTATGCATTTTTTCAATGGCTTTTCACATTTCTTGAGATTTGGAAATAGCTCTCTGTTTTAAGTAGGTGTTTGATTTTATGCATGATAGCAATTGTCTTGAAGGTTTTCAATGTGCAAATTTTATACCATTTATTATATAAATGGTACATTAAAATAACAGATCAGCAGAATTACACCCACTCTCCACAATAAAGGTTTTAGTTTTTTTCTGAGCTGATATTTATTTTAAGTTTACTCAAAACTTTTTTCTTTTTCTTTTTATTTACCAAATCCAAATTGACAGGTTTGTGAAAGATCCTCAATTATTTTATTTATTATTTATAATTTGTTATAGTATTATTTTGTATTATTAAATATATTTATTTATATTATTTGTAATACATTTTATATTTTCTTATTATTTATATTATTTATAAGCAAAGTATTTATTAGCAATATTAGTTATAAGCAAATTATTTATAAGCAATATTCTTAGGACTCTAAATCAAGATTAAAAATCTACTAGAATATTTTTTTGTAAAAACATATTTTTAGATTTTGTTGATTGATTTCAGATTTTTCAGAAAATGTATGCAATTCATAATAGTTAAAATGATGCATTGAAATTAATTCAGATAATACAACTAATTTATTTATATTACAACATGTATATTTCATGCCAAATTATTTTTAATATTACATGCATACTACATCCAAAGTTAAATACACACAGTCATAGTTAAGAATGTTGTTATGAAATTAAGAGATTAAAAGAAGTTACTAATAAATTTGTATTATTGCTTTTTTAAAACTTTTTAAAAAAGCATTCTAAGGTATGACATTGCCAATAATTTTTCAAAAAAACTCAGAACAGCTAAATAACAAGTTGACATAGTTAAAACTTGATTTTAAATGTCTTTAGGGTGACTATGGGTAGCTGTTTTGAATGTTGACTAAAATTTAGAAGACTGTTTTAGTAATGACAAATATATAAAACCATGTATATTTTTATTGTATTTTTTTATTAGCAATGAAATTACAAGATTTAAATGTTCATGGAAGTTTAAATGAAACAGGTAATTTTAAAAAATGTTGTTTTATTTGTTATTAATAATTTTTTTTTTTTAAATCTTTAGTCAAAATCTTTATTAGTCAAGTAGTAATGATAATATTGACAACAAGAATGTAAGTTGAAATTAAAGTTTCAATATTTAACTTTTTCAAATATTCCAACTACGATTTTTTGAATAAATAAATATATCGAAATTTATGCAAATTTAGTAAAGAGTAACCAACATTTTTTTATAAAGATTTAATGCAACGATAATGACCCATAAGATTTTTGAAAATATTTTAAGAATCAGCAACAATAAGAAGATATTTATTTTCCTCAAAATTTACAGTCATATAATTACAAATATATATTAATAATAATAATAACAGCAATAATAAAAATAATAATATAAATAAAATATTATAAATAAGAAAATCAAAATATAATTATTAAGAGTAAATATAAATAATTGATTGAGGAAGGAGTCACTCATGCAGAATCCTGATCAAAGGAGTGACACTAAATAACTATATTAATAATATTAATTTTAAAAATAATAATAATAACAATAATAACTTTATTCATTAATAGAGCAAAAGTAACAGCAAAAATAATAGTATTTATAATAATTGTAATAATAATAGTAATAAATAAAAACAACAGTAATGAAAGTAATAAATATTAATGATAAAAACAATAAAGTTTCTATAGAAATAGTAAGAAAAAAAAGAAAAGAAAAATAAGAAAACTTAATTAAATTTAGTATATATATTTTTTTGTTTTAAAGCAAACTTAATTTCTTTTCAGACAATAAAATTGTAGTTTTCAAAAACTTTATTGTAAACAAAGAAAATGTATTGGCAAGTAAAAGTTCATTTTGGATGAGCGGCGAGTTAAAATTGTAATTCACGTAGTAATGTAGTAAAACACATTTAGTAAAAATGCATGTAAAAATTGAAATTCAATATTTTAATTCACTTGCAAAAAAGTATAAAGTTCAAAGGAAAACTGCCAGTCATATCATCAAATCATGGAGTGAAAGTTACAGATTGAGAAGACAGTTGAGAAATCAAAAAAGAGGTTTGTCAAGTTACAAATTGATCGAAAAGTGATTAGGTGTGTCAATGCAAATCTAGAGCATTCCATTTGGTATATCGAAGAAAAAAAAAAGAGTTACCAAATCAAGAAGTAAAAAAGAGATACAGCTACAAAACATACAAAAAATAGAAGTAAGTTGGAAGATTCAAATAGCATGCAGTAGTTATGTAGTGGTAGAGTGCTTGCTCCGTCCCTGGTAGTACTGTGCTGAACTTCTTTCTCCACGCAGCGACCTTATTCGCCAAGGTCTATTTTTTTGAGTTATTAAGTTGAGAGTGGGTTATAATCAGGCTTGTGGAGCCGTAGCCAGGAAGCCTCTGTTTTTTGGTGGAGCCAGAACCACAAAAATTGAGCAGCTCTCTGCTCTAGTGTTTTTTTTTTAAGGAATAGAATTTTTTTTTTTTTTTTTTTTTACTGTAGACAAACTTTATTTATTTATTGTTTAACTAATTTGTTTAATGAATTATTTATTGACTTTCTATTTTTTTTAAATATTTTTTCTAACAGTTACGGTCTTGCCAAAATGTAATAAAAATGATTCTTTTAACAATTTTGTACTCAACAAAATACTATCCATTAATAGCATTTCTTAAAATGTCATTAAAACAGTTAGAAAAACGAAAAAGAATTCTGCACAACTATCTACAAAATCCTTCTGCATTGTTACTTTCGATTGCTAAAGCATCTGAATCTAGAAAAAACTGCTGTTTGTATGGTCATAAAACAATACAAGAGCTCTCTATCTATCAAACAAGCACAAGGATCTGAAAGAAAGAGTGGTTTTAAGGATAAGAAAGCAGCTATTAGTGTTCAATGATCATTCACGCAAAATCCAGGCTTATCAAACAGAGAATGAGCCAAAAAGTATAAAGTTTCAGAGTTTTTTAAAGATTAAAATTTGGCAAGCAATATGCAGCTGCGGTTTTGTCACATCGTCAACTTTTAATTCAGATGTTTACATCAAAGAATACTTGCAAGCTAGACTTTAGCAATTTTATCAAAGTCACAATGTCCCCTTTTGGTTCTGGTCTATTCTTACTTTTTGTCATTATTTTAAAAAGAGTGGTACAATACGAGAGACATACCAAAAAGCTTGAATCCATCAATCAGCACACAGTTCCATCCCAATAAGAAATTTTGGGGAATTGGAAAAGAATATTTGCGTAAGAGTGGCAAAACAATAAGTACAGCTAAAGATTTAGTTAGAGAGGGGATGTTAGTAGGAAAAAAAATTCCCAAAGACACTGCAGAAGTTGATGTCGTCGATTAGCGTAAATTGGCGATTATTTATTTGAAATAATGAGAAATATTAAAATAAAAACCACTTTTATAATCTTCAAATTTCTTAGATTAAAATAAATATTGAAGTTTTTGCATTAGTTGAACTATTTTTCTTTTTTTTTAAGTTTTTCATTGTTTTGAATTTAACAATTGCATGTTTTACCCAATGGGCATGGGACATACAAAAGAGGTCTTTTAAAAGTCTTTTGAACATTTTAGATGTCTTTAGAACGTTATGGACGTCTTTTAGACATCTTTTGGACATTCAAAAGGTGTGTTTTTTTAGGTACTGTGTCCTCTGGGTAAAATTAAAACTAAAATTTGAACTAAATACTCTAGTTGTGGGTAAATAATATATAGAAAAAAAATGTTTATTTACCCAAAACAATTTTTTTTTCAAATTTAATATCCGGTAGAAGAGTAGTGATAGTAATACAATAACCTTGTAATCATGAGAGTTGGTTAAAAATTAATAGCTGTAATCGGTTTGGATTTGGGTTGACAAATGTAATCAAAAAAAATATTTCAAAAATTGCGATTTTTGTTCATAAAGTTCAGGAGCCAGAGCTAACCCGGGAGCCAAGCTGGAGCCGGATATTTCTTAGGAGCCGAAGCCAAGCCATAAAAAAAACATTCGACTATAAGCCTGGTTATAACCACTATTAAGTAGCCTTCTTGGCTCAAGGAGGGGGGGGGGGTGAATTAAAATAAAGAAGGAAAAAAATTCAAAAAATGTTACAAGAAAAATTTCAAGGAAGTTAAAAGTGCATTATAATGAAACTTACTTCAAACTTGACTGTTTGATGTTCCCAGGCCAGCAATTTCTTACAATTACGAAAAGATTGAAACCTGGCCTTTTGCTAAAAAATTTCAAAAAAGTTATAGCATGGCAAGCCATCTGTTTGTGTGGTTTCGAAACTTAGCCATGCGAACATAAACTGCCATGTTAATGTAAAGGAATGTGTAAAAAAGCAACTTTAGTCTATGATCCAAAAGCATGATTCACCCATCTTCTGGCCTGATTTTGCATTTTACTTAAAAAGTGTAATTGAATGGCATTAAAGTAGCTTTGACTTTGTCCCAAAAAACCTGAACCCAGCAAACATGATGTAACTTTATCCAATTAAAAAATTTGGGGAAAATATGAAATGTATCCAGCATAAAAAGGGCTAAATTGCAACAGGCGTCAGTCAATTTTTTTGATTTTTGGGTGTAGCATCACAAAATTTTACAAAAAATTGTCCAAAAGCTTATGTGAGGTGTCTGTACAAAACTGAAAAAATTTTGTTATCAGTTCAAGGATGACTTTTTCTAAAATATGTATTTAGAGAAAAATTTGTTTGAAAAAAAATAGTTGCAAAATTAGGTGGTTCAAGAAATATTTTAAAAATCTTATGGGTTACTATCATTCTGAACAGAAAGTACGCCTTTAAAGAAATTTAAAAATGAGCTTATAGTACAAAGATTCGAAGTATTGTTTGAGAAACCAATGGAAGTTATGTAGATTGAATTTAAAAGTTCAATAAAATATAAATATAGTTCAATACATTTTCAAAATTAAAAAAACATATTAAAAATTACTAAATATCTTTGCTTTTAAAATTATAGAATCTGAATTTTAAAAAATGAAATCTAAAATTTAAAAAATAAATTTTTGAGGTTTTTCTTACGACATTTATTTAAATAAATGTATGTTTCAATAACGAAATTTTTTTTGATAAAATAAATGAGGGCAAAAAAAAAATATTTGAGGGCAAAAAAAAAATATCTGTTTTATTATTCTTTCTTTTTTTCATTTTTTATTCTTTTTTTTTTTTTTATTCTTTATTTGGCAAATCGGTAGTTTAAAATTTAAAGTGTACAAAGTATATTATACACCATATACTAATACTGCACACCTAAGTAGGTTAATTAAACTGTGTATTGTTTAGTTAAAAGTTCAAAAATAGCCAATTTAAAATCCCTTTTACATCAATTTGTAAAAATGGATATTTAAAAAATTAAATTGTATTTTCAAACAAAAGTTTAATCAAATATACTTTAAAAAAATTAAGGTCTTTTTTAATATCATATGATAAAAAAAGCTTGGTTGCAAAATGTTATTCCATAACTTTAAATGGTGTATACTGACTTTTTATCCCTAGAAATGGAAGTAAAAAAGAAAAAAACTTGAACAGTGTGAATATGCATATTCACATTAAGTTTTTAATTTTCTTTTTAAAAAAGTTGATAAAATAACAAATAGATTTTTACAATTATCATTTAAAAATACATAGAATGTTGTGTTTTTTAAGTTTTGTTAAAATGCAGAACATTTAAAATTAATTCACAGACTTAATTTTATGTTTTTACATTTAAAGTTTTGAGTTAAAGTGCTTGTTTTAATTTTGAAGTTGTGTAACAAGTTCATATTGTGTTAGTTACAAAAAATTTACTTTATTTTTATTATTAACATTTCATTTACTTTATTTTTTATTATTTGCAAAATGCAAATGACAAAGCATCGCGTTATACACTGCAAATTTCAAAATTATTCAAATATTTATGCTTAAGTTTTAAAAATTTTAAATGAAAAATATTTTCAAGAGTACTAAAACTCTTAATAGCTATCAAAATCCCAGCACAGCACAAGGCCTAAAAAAG